AATCTGGCTGTTCAGATGCCCTGAAATGTCTCTAGTATTTCAATGGGAAGAAGCTTCAAGATGTGCTTTTTGGCACACGTGAAAAATGACCTGCCCAGAGAGCCATGGAAATGTAGGTGCTGCTCAGTAATGCCCCTGGACTGGGACAGGCATTGCTGAGGATTTTTTCCTTCCCCTCTCTGATTCCATTCCCACTGTTTTGTACAGACTCCTTGGGGTCAGATTTTGCACTGTACAGTTTGATAAGTTAGTGCAGATGTGTGTTTGCAGGCATGTTCTTCTTCTGTATTCCCTGATCAAATTCAGTAAACTGATATCTGGCTTGAAGTTTCTCCCCCCCCCCCCCCCCCCGTATTATTTTTATTTATTTCTCCAGAACAGCTGGAGGAAATGAAGGTACACTTAGCCCCAGTTTCCTTGCTGCTGTAATCTCTTAACTTTTTTTTCTTTTCCCCTCCCTCAAACTGATGGGTAACTGTGAAGCCCAAGTTCAGGAATGTGGTTGGAATTCCTTGCCCCAGTCTGGGGGAGGTGACACTTTCAGTCTCCAGGAGAAAAAGCCAACTGCTTTGTTTATCAACATGCAAAGGACAGCACTGTGGGAATTAGGGCCTAGAAAAAACTGTAGCTTTGTAGAGAATGGAGCAGCTCATTACAGGGGTGAGCTGCAACTCCTAAAACTGCCATTTCAACTCCTGTTTCCACTGCCACCGCCGTTTGAACTGCCATGACAGCTGGCAGCCAGTCAAATGCTGCAGTCACGGGGTTTACCTTATAAGGTATGATTATCTGTTGGTGTTGGGTTATATAAGGAGGGCTGCAACTCCAATAAACTAGTCTCAGCTTCACCCCCCTGAGTGCGTGCCTCAATACACCACAAATGGTGCCCCATGTTGGGGCATGAAAGAAATTAAGCTGTTTCTCCAGTGGTGTAGCTCAGCTGAACACAAAGAAGGAAAAAGCACTGAAAGGAAGCGACAAGAGAGCTCTCAATTACCTTACGCTGGATGATAAGGTGAGCAGCTGAGAATGAAATGGGAACCCCTTTAACGAAAAAGCATAAGGCAGTCTCACAAGCCTTTGCTGAAATCCTTAAAAAATATGAGAAAACAGTACAGGAAGAAAATTTAGAATGTCTCCTTTTGTGGGCATCCAAAGCTAATCCCACATTAAACAGTGACTTAGCATATGACTGTAGAGTTTGGGATGATATCGATGTCAGACTCTGGGACAGCACCACGCTAGGCGATAAGATAGCAACCTCTTTATTAACAACATGGAGAGCAGTTTACAAAGCTTTGCAAGCTCACTCCAGCTCCGCAGACAACCGTGTAAAAACGGCAACTAATTCTGAGCCACTCTCACAGAAGGAGCTGAAATTTTGTGTGCCACCCCTGCCCCATGACCCACCCCAACCGCAATCTCCCGTGTTGCTTTTCGTGTCGCCAGAGCCGCCTTCATTGCCAGCATCGCTGCTGCCACCTAAGGCACAGCCCGCAGCGTGGCCAGAAACAAAGGCCTCCTCCTCCACACCACATTCACGTGGACTTCTCTTCTGTGGTTCCGCTGCCACAGCACCAGTTTCTCGGTCAGATGACTCCGAGGAGGACCCAGAACTCACAGATAAGAAAAAAGATTTAACCTTTCACTCTCCTGACTTGCCTGACAAGTGCGGGGGGAGGCGAGACTAGCAGGGGACACGGCAGTCTTAAAAGCTTTCCCAGTCCTGGTCTGGCCTGACCAGGACCCTCACTGGGAGGGTCTGTCATATGCTCTTATTAAAGATGTAAGGCGAACAGTAACAGACCACGGTTTGGGGGCTTTGTACACCATCCATTTAATAGAATCCATCTGTGATAGCCAAGTGTTCATCCCCCACGATTTCAAAACACTATTTTGTCTAATAATGACTGATATGCAGTACACAATGTGAGAAGCCAGACTGAAACAATTAGCAGAAAAACAGGCGATTGCAAATTCAGTTGCAGGAACACGAAACCCTTTGCGAACTGTTACTGTAGGTGTTTGCTGGGGCAGGGTGAGCATTCTTCTCAGGCAGTACAAGCACGAACATGTGCTGCAGGGCTCCAGCAAATAAAGCAACTAGCCCTATGCGCTCTTAAAAGCATCCTGGACGCAGGCACACAGTGAATGCCCTTTACCCATATCAAACGAGAGGCAAATGAGCCCTTTAGAAAGTTTTTAGATCGTCTTAATGATGCTTTGGAAAAACAAGTAGAGAATGATGCTGCACGCCAATGCCTTTTTAAACAGCTTGCTATAGAAAATGCAAACCCCGACTGTCAGAAGGTTTTACGTCCCCTAAAAACTCCTACAGTGGATGACATGCTAAATGCACGCATGAATGTTGGGTCAAGGCAGTATGATTTATCTCTGATAGTTGAAGCATTTGCAGCAACGTCCACAAAAAATCAACAATGTTTTTCTTGTGGCCAGTTGGGTCACTTGCACAGGAATTGCCCAAATGACAGGATAAACAAAAGAAGAGTGGGGCCGGGTGTCTGTCCACGTTGTCACAAAGGGAATCAGTTTGCAAATCAGTGCCGCTCTAAGCTTGATCACTGTGGGTTATCGCTTCCCCCTCAGGGAAACTCCAAACGGAGCATGGGAAGGGGACGCGCTATGACAATAAATCCAACCCCTGCCTGGACCCCTCGCGAACCTGCCACAGCCTGTGTGCAAGCACAGCCGGCAGTACCGGAGTGGACCTGGCCACCTCTGCAGAAGTAACACTGCAGGATACAACAGTTGCCCTGCTGCCGACTGCTACACATGGCCCTCTGGGCCACGGCAAAGCAACCTCACTTAATTGGCAGAGCATCTATCACTTTAAAAGGCCTTTTTGTGTTGCCAGGAGTGATAGATGCAGATTTTGAGGGGGAAATAAAGATAATGACGTGGACCCCAATGCCATCATGTATTGTACCTGCAGGCAGCCGGATCGCGCAACTAATTTATTTTTTACCCCAAACACCAAATAATGTTCCTGTCAGGCGTGGCCGCGGATGCTTCAGATCCACAGGCGAGCTGCAAATTGACTGGACACAACAACTGACCACAGAACGCCCTTTATTGTCTTGTATTCTACAGGTACGGGGGGAGAGCAAACAAATCCCTCTCATCCCTTGCTTTGAATCTTCCTGCCTACAGGATATGGGGGAGGGAAAGCAAAGCCACAGCAAACTAAAATCTCTCCCATCACCGCCCAGTTTAGCTCCCTTATTAGCTACTTGTTTGCACCATTGTGGACAAGGAAATTTTCTGCTTCGGGATATCTGTAACTGCTTCTACCAAACCCATTGGGGGGGGGTGAAAGAAGCGATGCGTGGGGGCCAGGACCTTTTGGGAAAGCAGGGCTCAACTTCGCAAACAAGGCTGGGGCTGGAGGAGTGCCGAGGGGGAAGTTGTCCTGCAGGCAGCAGGACAGGACAAGCAGGACGCAGTCTGCTCAGGATGCGGCACATCTGAAGGACACCATGGATTTGGGCCCATTGTTGCTGCTTTATTAAATCATAGCCACCTACAACTGGCTCAGTGGCAACAGAAGAGCAGTGCTCATAGTTTGAATGATGGTTTTTGCTGAAGATTTGAAGGTATCAGCATTCCAGTTTTCCTGCCTGTCTGAAAGAGAGAGTTTCTTTTCTGTGATAAGATCCATACCTGGAAAGCTCCCCAGGCAGCCACCAGGCCCCAACATGGCATCAAGGCACTTGGCAGCAGTCCCCCCAACATCTGCCTCCAGCCCACGCCAAGCCACCGCCTTACCCACAGCCCCAGAGCCCTGGATGCCACCATGGCTGTCCCTGACGCCACCCTGCTCACCAGCTCAGGTGTCTCACACAGCGCCTGGGAGCCTAGGAATGTTGGAAGGTCCTCATGGGTGTGGACATCAGTGCCTGAAGAGCTTCTGGTCTGAATTGAGGGCTTGGTGTTGGTCCTAAAGCCACCAGGATGCAGATGGTCTGTTCTTCCAGGCAAGAGACGACTTCACTGCTGTCTGCCTTCAAGGGCTGATGGGCTGTAAGAAAAAAAAAACAGAGCGAAGATGAAACTCCAGACATCCCTCCAGCCCATGTTCCCCACTCACCACTGCAGATCTCATCCAGTTGCTCTTTGCTTCGGTTCCTCAGGTGCCCATTTTCTAGCTCCAGGGAGACAGGGTCAGTCAAACCATGACAACTTGGCAGAGACGTCTTCAACTGCTTCTGCTTCCTCAGCACTGCTGAGCCCAGGTGGTCTCTGAAGAGGCAGATGGAAAAATTCTGCATGTCTCTGCTCTCCTGGGAGGAAGGAGGAAAGGTGAGCTTTGGAAACAGTGGCCCCCTGCCCACAATGAAAGGGAGTGGGGATGGTGGCTGAGGGAGATGCCCTGGGCTCAGATTCCAGAGCAGGGACAAGTTGCCCTGGCCTGCAAGGCCCAGAAGCCACCAGAGCCCAGGGGAGCAGAGCCTGCTGCCAAAGCTGCTGACAGGCCTGGGCTGCAGGGCAGCTCTCACTGCCCAGTGCCCATCTCAGGGCTCACGCTCCCACATCAACCTTACCATGTCAAAGAAGCGTGAGAGGTTCTCCATCAGATCCTCAGTGGCTGGGCTGGCCTTTGTCTTCTTCAGGTTTGGACACATCAGGTTTTTAGGGACCATCACAACCTCTGTCCAGGAGTCTTCACTGCCAACCCACAGGAGCTCCATCATGTGTGGCACCAGGAGCTCAAATTTTCCTGCCTGTATGAAACACGGTGTTTCTTTTCTGTGATAAGATCTATGCCTGGAAACCTCCCCAGGCAGCCACCAGGTCACAACATGGCATCAAGGCAGTTGGCAGCAGTCCCCGAAACACCTGCCTCCCAGCCCACGCCAAGCCATCACCTCACCCACAGCCCCAGAGCCCTGGATGACACCATGGCTGTCCCTGACGCCACCCTGCTCACCAGCTCAGATGTCTCACACAGCGTCTGGGAGGCTGGGAATGTTGGAAGGTCCTCATGGGTGTGAACGTCGGCGCCAGAAGAGCAGTGCTTCTGGCCTGAATCGAGGGCTTGGTGTTGGTCCTAAAGCCTCCAGGATGGCGATGGTCTGTTCTGCCAGGGAAGAGATGACTATATTGCTGTCTGTCTTCAAGGGCTGAAGGGCTGTGAGCAAAAGAAACGGAGCCGAGATGAAGCCCTGTGTCTGCAGAGACCCCCAGACATCCCCTCCATCCATGTTCCCCACTCACCACTGCAGATCTCATCCAGCTGCTCTTTGCTTCGGTTCCTCAGGTGCCGCGTGGCCACCCCTGGGCACAAAGCTCCGTCAGCCCCTGCTCCCCAGTGGGCTCCCAGCAGCGCAGCCCCTGACCCTGCCCTCCTCCCCCTCATCAGGGATGAGCCCAGGAAGCACCAGGAGCTCAGGGGGTGGAACTCAGCCCAGTGCCCACCAAACCCAGCCACATGGGCAGGGGTGGCAGAGGGAGGCCCAGGCCCAGCCTGTGGCAACCAGGGCTCGAGCAGCCCCAGGGCTGGGCCTGGCTGTGGCTGCAGGAGCAGGGACTGGGGCCAGCTTGCCCAAAGAGGGACCCCGGGGGCTGGAGCTCACCGATGAACCTGATGGCCGCCTCTCGCACACTGGGCTCAGGGTCCTTGAGGTAGCTCAGGCCCTGACGCAGGTACTCTTCAGCCCTGCTCCTGTCCTTCCCCAGCTGGAGAGAGCACAAGGACACAGGTATGGCACAGAGCCCCTTCGCTGGCTGCAGCAGTCCCTCCTGCCAGCACTCAGTGTTGCCCAGAGCCCTCTCTCCTGCTGGCTGCAGGGAAGGGAGAGGGGTCTGCAGAGGAGCCCTTGGGGCTCTGTTCTTGGATGGCACACATTGGGCTGCAGCTCCAGCCTCTGGGCTCTGGGCCCACAGCGCAGGCTCTACCTGCGGAGCAAACCTCACCCAGCCTGCACCCTGGCACTTGGCCTTACCAAGCACTCGCCAATCCTCCACATCTGCTGCTTCTTCACCAGCTCTTTCAGCTCCCTCCACTTGAGCAGCTTTGCTGCAGCAAGGAGCGCTTCCTGGGCAGCCTGCATGGAAGCAGAAGGGGTGAGGTAGCAGCATGGCTGGCAAAGGAGAGCTCTTGGCTCTGTTGTTGGGGAGATTCTGCCCTCAGGAAGTTGGGACATGCCCTCACCAAAGTGTCTAGGGGACGTGTGAGGACAGCCCCGCAGGACAGGGCCTGAGGCTGGAAGCCCTGGTTTTGGACACGTGCCAGGGAAAGGAGAGAAGCCTGTGGGGATGTGCCTGTTCAGGCTTTGGTGGCCACAGGCTGCTGACGAGCCCTACTGGAGCCCCAGGACAGCTGTTGGAAATGGCCCTGCCAGCTTCTCCATCCCTGCTGGCGCTGGCTCTGCAGGGACCTTTCCCACGCCTTGTGCTGGGCCACGGCTGCCCACTGCCAGCAGCCCTTGCCCTGCTGCCTGGGCCCCACAGGGCAGGCCAGCCCACCTCTCTCTGTGCCAGTGCTCAGCCTTCCAATGTGTACCTTGGCCACGCTCGGGGACTGGTCACTTGTGCGAATGAGCAGCGGGACCAGTGCACTCCACAGAGACCTCTTCAATTGCTTGTTGTTCCTCAGCACTGCTGAGCCCAGGTGGTCTCTGAAGAGGCAGATAAAGGCCTCTCGCATGTTGCTGCTCTTCTGGGAGGAAGGAGGAAAAGTGAGCTTTGGAAACAGTGGCCTCCTGCCCACAGTGAAGGGGGTGGGGATGGTGGCTGAGGGAGGTGCCCTGGGCTCAGAT